AATATGTATTTCTTACCGGCTTCCCGTCCGAAATAGTGACACATTACACCAAATGAGTGGCCATACCCAAAGGTTCTATAATGAAGAAGATTGTGCTTTTCGTATATTAAGTTCAATTCGTGAGCTATTTCTTTGCATTTTATTCCAGGCCTGACGAGTTTCATGCCGGCCTCGTGAACCTCACAGTTTGCCTTCCAGTAGCGTAGGGCCTCATCTGATGCATAGTCTAAGAACAGAGTTCGTTCTAGCGATGTGTAGTATCTAAAAACGTAAAGATAAAGATAAACATAACCAGTAGTTGATACAGCAATACAACTCTACGATAACGGCAATACAGTAGTAGTTAATATTCTAGTAGATCTATTTATTTCAGGGCCAGCGGAACGTTTTTCAGAGGGGGAGGGGGACACTAGTAAAATGAATGGGAATATGAATCTGGGTTCAACTTTAGAGGGTGGGGGGTGAATATTTTTCCCAAGACTCCAAAAAGGAAGGGGGTTTTGATTCCTAGATGGTGGGATTTGAGCTTCCCGACTTCTGAGGTATGGTATCTTTTAATGAATTTTAAGTTCTTCAAATTCAAGGTATTCCTCCTCTTGAAAACGGTCAGGTAAACTTTCTCATTCTTGTTACAGTAAATAGGCCTGTTATGTGTGTATAGATACATACATAAATAAATTTGAGTAGTTGCATACGTATTTTTTTTTTTCATGAATCGATAAACCCCAAAGAGAAAGGGGTCCGGTTGTGTTCCCTGGGAAAATTTTGATTCCTAGATGGCAGGTTTTATATGTATTTTTTCCCAATGAATCGATAATGAAAACGGTCAGGGGACTCGGTCGGGGACTGAATAAACAGTATCTTTCACCCCCCTATTCTCCTTCTTCCCTCTTTCTTTTCTTGCATTTCTTTCAGATCATACAAAATCTCCATAGACATTATATATGTTCTGCCAAAAAAGTGGTTACAAATACATGGCCGGTTCCACCGGAAATTGTGTCTGGTTCCACCGGAATTTGTGTCTGTTACTATTTGACTGAAATTTGGTTGGTTAGAATTTGATTTAACAGAAATTACTTAACTCAAAGTAAGGTATCTGAAAATGGTGTTAACACAAAAAAATGTGTATAAAATAAAATAGCATTTTTAATTAATTATTTTAAAAGTGTAGCACTGGATTTGTCGGAATTAAATTTCGAAAGATATATTCCTCCGCTTATGCTTATCCCCGTCTCTATGACCCCCCCCCCCTCTCTGCTTAATTATAAACGATTTTGTACATACCCTGACATCATAGGGAAACAACTTAAGCTGCAGACGTCGCCTTTCTGAACTTTCCGACTGGTGACTGGGTTGTGGGCACCGTCAGTGTTTATACCCGATTGAAACCATGTCCAAACTAGATTATGAAAAAAAAAGAACAGAATGTTACCATTAAAGGCACTATAGGCACGCACGAATGTTAAAATTTAACATTCGTGCGTGCCTATAGTGCCTTTAATGTTAACATTCTGTTCTTTTGCATTTAATGCGCACGCAGATACATTCTCCAGGCCCGGAATTTATCAATTTCAGCTTAGCAAATATCTTAAGTCAAAAAAGATTAGATATAAGCAAATAACTTAAGCTGAATTACCGTATCAAATCATCTTAGCAAAATCTTAGCTTAAAAATCGTGTAAGATGCTTTATACGTACAATCGACTTTTTAATTTTAAGCAAATTTAAATTTAAAGCAATATTGATAAATTTGACTTAAGCAAAAAATGGACTTAAGATGAATTTAAGCTGATTTCTAGTTTGATAAATCCGGCCGTTCGTACAACGTACAGTATTCATAGATTAAAATTCGGACGTTCATGGTGCGAACGTTGCTTTATAAAGAGTTGATTGACGTTGCTTTAGGGTGAGTTAATTTTAGTCTCGTCGTATTCCCTACAATATAATCCACTCACTCTAGGAACGTTCACACCACTCCCGCATTTAAGGTTTCGTGTGAAATTATAGTTTAAGCATCATAATACCATCCCATTTCTTATTTTATTAGTAGAGAGTGACTCGTAGTTGGATTAGAGTGAAATTCAAATATCAGAAGAAAATACTGAATTTTATATTATTATTATTGTACTTACTGTCCTGAAGTATGATATCTGGTCGACTTTTCGCTATCTCCCTCGTCATAGTGTTAGTCGAGTGCATGGCTATCTCATGCTCACCAACTCCTTCGGCAACTGCTTCGACGACCGCTGCGGCGCCGATGTCACCAATTCGTGTACTCTCTTTAAGAAGAGAGATCTCTTCCTCGGATTTTATCATACGCTGGTACATTGCCGATTCTCCGATGTCTACGAAAGTGCTGTCTGGCAGAGCATTTTGAAGTTTTTTGAAGTTGTCTAAATTGATGTGGTCGAATTCACAGCCAATTTTACCCTTTAATTGCCTAAGCTCTTGATTTACGCCTCTATAGAAGTTGTCCCGTTGCCAGTCCGTGTAAACTAAATTATCACCGTTCACAGTCCAACGCCAAGGAAATCCACCATCAATGTTAGCAGAAATTGAAACTACTTTATCATGTGTTACCACCAATCCATAAGGCCGTCCAAACTCACAATACATGAAGTCCGAATAGTACTTGATATTATGAAATGAAGTAAACAGCACGCCCTCGATGTTTTTATTTGTCATTATATTGCGAAGTTTGCTGACCCTTTCATCCATTTCTGCTTTAGAAAACGTGCCCTTCTCCTACAGAAATAATTGAAGAAAAAAAAAGTGATGATGATGATACAGATGTTAATGATGGAAAATGATGCCGATGATGGTGGTGTGACGATGATGATGGTGATGATGATGAAGATTGTTGGTGATAGAAGGATGATGAAGATGATGATGATAGTGATGATTACGATGTTGATAAAAGTAGAGAATACGATGTTCATTAAGATCATGATGATGTTGGTGATGTAGATGATGATGAATGATGATGCTGACGATGGTGATGATGGTGTTGAAGGATGATGATGGTGTTGACGATGATGACTATGTTGATGAGAAATGATGTTGATGATAATTATGATAATGATGATGAATGATGATGAGGATCTAATGAAGGATGATGTTCATGTGGTCCAGCCTTCATAAATAGGCTTATTACTATAATATTATTGTTAATATCATATTGATATGTAGGCCTAATAGTCCCACTGTACGCTAGGCGTTAATAAAACGTCTCATCTTTCAGCATGCATTAAGGTAGGCCTATTTCAATGCTAAAAAATTGACCGGAGTAAGATATTACGAAACTGAAAATAGAAACGTATTAACATCGTACCGGTACAAAATAAAACGGTCAAAATTTGCTCAAGTATTATTATGTAGGCCTACCTTCTCTCCGTTCCTGAATCTAATAAGATGGGGCATATTTTCTACGTGCCATGGTTCCGAGTGCATCGTGCATTGTGAACCGACGCAGTGTTTGGTGATATCTGTCCTCAGCAGACGTCTTAGTGAAGCATACGATGACCAACCATGCCTCAGATGTGAAGTTAGACTCATATTTGGTAGTTGGCACAAACAACCAATACTATACAATATTCAAAATATACTGTCTTTCAACACCTAAAAGAATATTAATTAAAACATTCAATAAAAGTTTTTATATAAGATACTTATAATTTAATTTTCTCCTGAGCCAGCTTTAAATAAATGCGAAAATATATAGAGCATATCCGAATAATATTCACTCTTTAACCTTTTATTGTAGGACTACAATGTTTTTTTAATTTTAAATTTAAATAAGAACCACATTTTGCCGAGGCTCACTGTGTTATAATTTTTAACTGGTAATTTATGGCTCTAAATGTTCTTATCTTACACTGTAATGTACAACCAGTTACACTCTTGTCAGAAAAAAATACTGGGACTGCTAGGCCTAAGAGAACGGCTGGATTCAGGGGGAAATTATATTAAAATTTCAGTACAAGCTTAGCCGAGTATTGCACGCCTGATTACTGTAGGCCTACATCGCATCTTATGACATTAAATGGAGTAGATATAATGTTGATATAGCCTCCTTAAACATTAATTAATACGTGACTAACTTGATTTGTTGGTTTTTAAAGTTTTTGTTTTTCATCTCCTTCGATATTTTACCTCGGCCTCTATTTGTTCTTATTTTTTAAGGAATTTCAGTCTTAGTTCTTATAAAAAAAAAAAGGGGTATTGCTGTTGTAGAATAGACAGCTGGGTTTTGTGTTGTATTGTGTAAGAGGTTACATATCGGGCACACTATTGACTGTTTATAGAGTACCGACAGCAAACACAGTCGACCTAACGATGACCTCGGTAAATCACAGTGGTGTGATAATGTTATTATACCTCGATGATGTTATTGAATTTAAAATAGAACTACGGGCTTAATAAATCCCATTGCCGTTTATTATTGTGAAACATCAACGAACAAGCCAACGCACTTTTCTTCAGTTTAGTCAGAACAGCGTTAAGGCACGACAGACCGACTCCAATGATTCACGGCTATTGCAGAAATTCACTGCTATAAAATCAATATTTCAACGGGAACTGATGTCTCCTTGCGGCAGCGACTGCATACCACAAATGTGACTAAAGCAGATTGTGCTAACTACTGTTTTGAAATATCATTCACTTGTTGGAAAATAATTTCCAGTCGATTGCTTAATATCTGCGACAAATGCCGTGGCGTTATTATTGAACTTTCCGTTGCGGTTTCCTGTGTAGACAGTTGGCCTACGGAAAACAGCAAAACACTGGTTTCAATCAGACATAATTAAGTCGCCATGGGACTACTAAATCATAACGGCAGTAATGCGATTTGCAATTATTACTGTTATGTAAATTCATCATAATATATTTAATAATCAACGATTTTATAACGGACTTTTTAAATATACCACGTCACTATAACAACTCCCGGACTACAGAAATGAAAGGCCTATGGGCTTCGTTCTGTAGGAAGACCGATCACTGAATGTAGGTGCCGCCTAAGAAAAACTATAAAAAAAAATGTGAAAAAAACATGCTGTTAATATTAACTTAAATATACATAAATAGACACTTATCACTGGCACTGCTCTTCACTTCTTCAAGAAACAGGAATACAAATGTTGTTAATGATTGATTGCTTACCTCTCTCTCTCTGCATCCATGATCCCTTTTGATGTTATACAACCAAAGACAAAGTGAAGACTCACAAGTGTGGGGTAGAAATTCAACACAATAACAAATGGAGATGTCGGACATCTAGTATCACAACTGATGCGCGTTATGGTAAAATAAAACACGATCCGATATTATATCCCTTATCCTTATTATACACTGACAGACCTGACACGTGTGATGGTCAAAACAAAAACACGATCCGATATCTTGCAAGTTGTCTTGGGTAATTATGTATTTTATAGGCCTAAGCCTCGTTATATTAGCGAGAAATGGATTGGTATCCAATGTGTCCGGTCACTGTGTTGAATATCTACCCCACACATGTTGTTGAGGAGCGAGCCGGTGGTTAGCTCCCTGAGTCCTACCCTACGATGTTTTAGCAACACTACTATGATCGTTTTGCCGAGTCGTATCCAGCTTATATTGAAACTCGGGTGATGATGTCATCAACGTAAAGTACGAACGGTTCATTTTAGTTCATGGTCATCGACTTTCCGGTCGATGACCTTCAATATTCTACTAGCACAACGCCGCTGTGATTCACAAGTGAGTACGGAACCTCCATATTAATAGAATGACCATTTCATTTTATTGAGGAATTAAAATCACATATTACATGAATACAAAAAAGAAACAGACAACAGATATATGATTAAGAACAAAAGGTAAGACATTAATTCCTAGGGAAACCCAAGAAAGTTTTACAATATATAAAACTTATTTCCATTGGGGCCCTTAAACAAATTTTAAACATTTTTTACCACGTAAGAAACATAAAACAGTTAACAATAAAATGCCTAAATTGACTAATATGTAAAATATAAAGGACATGAAAAAAGTGATATAAAAAAGAGACAATACATTCTTATTTCAAACATTGCACTTCATAAACTCAATTAAATGCTTACACTTTAGAATTATTATTATTATTATTATTATTATTATTATTATTATTATTATTATTATTATTATTATTTATATAATGATATGTTAAGAATGATGAAAATTTAAAATTAAAAGATGTGAATCCATTATTATTATTGTCATATTTAATTAATGAATTATTTATGATATTCACTATGCTCACTTGTTGACATCGGTAAGTGATATTTTATTATATTAATTAGCAGATATTTTGCTACATTAATGTGACTATTTCAAACAGACTGACTACCAGGAGGTATACACTGGTAGCTTATTATTCCCGTGAAAATCCAGATCAATAAGCGTAATGGATAATAATAATAAAGAAATGCAAGCAACAAAAATTTAATAAATCTAATACATATTTAAGCATTCGAAAAGAAATCTATATAATTTCATTAGATTATAGATTTCGGAAATTCGAACGAGGAAAACATTCCGCACCAATACACCTTACTTGAATAACAAGAAATAAAACAAAAAGAAACTAAACGAAAGTTTAAATTATACAATTTCATTATAGTAAGGCTTTTTTTAGGCATACATTTAACTTTAGCATTAAAAATGTAAAGGTATTCTTTTTTTGCAGCAAAGTGGCTGTAAGCTCTGAATTCTTCATTTTTTCAATCTATGAATTTGATAAGGTACTTGTTGTCCTATTTATGAGCACATTAGCAGAATTCTAATTAGGATTTTTTTTTCGGTGGCAGCATAATAATAATAATAATAATAATAATAATAATAATAATAATAATAATAATAATGTCCCCCGCTGGATACTGTCTCTTATACACATCTAGATGTGTATAAGAGACAGGTATAGAAGTATATATATATAATTGTATATGTATATATATATATATAATATATTTGTATACAGTATATAGGTACTGAAGAAATATTCGAAGGCCTGGTTGTAATGCAAACACAGTCATGTTATTCTAGCTTTTGAACTTGTGCTCTTCTTTAGGAACTACAATACATGGAAAATACATACAATAGTGCAAAAATAGACCGTCGATGCCATTTGTGTCAGTACCTCAACCAATAGCTAGGTCGTTTGTACTATACCAACAGTACCGTATTCTTATATACAGCATGGATTAAGAAACCAAAACATGTTATCCGTTTAATTTTATCAGGGAGCTGATTGTATCACAGATCCTATATGGTTCTGTGATTCTATCTATACTAGCATGGAGGTATTTGCAGTAAACAGAGAGATAATAGCCTCGCAGCACTGACCATCAAATTAATGATCGACCTTCGAAAAAGTGAGCATGCGCAGAGGCACAGTTTACGGGTTGGTCAAGGTAGAATGTAATTGACAGAATGTGAGTGACCTCGTACTTTTTAGTGATTATTTTTAACACATACACCAGAATAGACAGTCGTTAAAAATGACCATTGACCCAGATTATTTTGACCGTAGGCCTTTATCCAAGGATGCCTGTTTCATAGGGCTTATCCTTCAACTTTTGGACGTACACATACAAACACATTAACACTCACAGAATAGGTAGACACTTTTTATTTGAATCCATAACTCCCCATATTAAAAATCGTAATTAAAAATACTCAACCAAATGTTCAGAAAATTATCCAGCGTTTAGAAGAGGTTGTGTGGTGTTATTCATTCATAGATCGTTTAAATTGAGATACGGGGCCTCTCCGGAAAATCCTGGGGAGAGAGAGAGGGCGGGGGGGGGGGCCAATTGTTGATTTGTTATCAATTACAGATTGTTTTCGTTATGCCTAGACCTACTGCAAAGCATAACTAAGTATACTGAAACTGACCCGGAGAGGATCTAGAAAAGAAAGAAAGAAGAAAGACTAGGGCTATGTTCACACAGAAAAAAAATGTATTGAAGGCGCTGCATGCTACCTATACAGTTGTAATGACGCACTCGTACTAATTTTATCTACATCAACAATCGGTGCTTCGCACTATGGCCTCTGGGGCGCATTCGAGCCATACACGCCTATTAAATTCCGTGTATATATGACAGGTAAACGCACGGCTTTACACCACGGGGGGTCCCCACATTCGAGCACAAACTTATTTTGTCTAACCGTGTAAACACTTACCTCGAGAAATACTCGTTTTAGGTCAGCGAGGCAATAGTATATCCCATCACGCCACGCAATATTTACGTTTCTAACCACGCTTCACGCACTTGTACCAAAGATCGTATAGCGCCGCTATGTAGCGGCGCTATACGATCTTTGCTTGTACTGTACTCCCTGCGCAAATACTTCAGTTTATTGGTGACCTGTGTCACCGTCAGCTTTCCCCTAAATTTTTCTTCGATCTTTGCAGTTATTTCTTTGTAAATACCGCTGTTTCGGCGGGTGCCGTCCACTTGTCTTTGTATTCTGTCCCAATAAGAGAAGGTAACGTATCATAGGTTCGGTCCACACAAACATGTTGAAATAATGAAGATGATGCTATAACATTAACAACAGGTCAGCGAATGCATTTGTTTTTGTAAAACTGGACAGGCCTATGGTTTTCGCGCGTGTTGAATTGAATTCATGTTGACCGCCAGACGGTGAGAGTCATTAAAACATGATTAATGGTCGCGATAATGGCCTTTGACAGCGATACACGGTTCTATAACCCTAAATTTGGTGCTCAAAATAGGCGAGCGTGTTCCAGATGTTTTTTACATCTTACCCCCGTTCGAGCCACGCACGGCATTTAACTTCCGTGTAAATACACGGACCTCGCACAGATATTTCAGGATCCTCGATTGGCTTGTCACCCCTGTAATGTGTTTAGGTGGAATGAAACCTCTGGCAATTGTGGAATCCCGCTCTGCTCTTTTTTTTTTTTTTTTTTTTTTTTTACACCGGACGTAAGTTGATAATTATAAGCGCTTTATTTAGTTAATTTATACAGTGCCCTGAATTGGAATTGGTATCAATTAAAATCCCTCCACAAATCTAACTCTCAAGTATTGACGATTGGACTTTGCCTGTGTGCATAGTGGCTTAGATTTACTGCAGTGATAAATCGTGTTGACTGACAAGCAGAGATATTTTTTTTTGTGTTTTTTTTTGTTATAATAATTTATTGGCTCTCTCGTTCGAAGCAGAGGAACACTCTCACGCAGAAGAGGTTCTGTCTCTTATACACATCTAGATGTGTATAAGAGACAGCACATTATGTTGTTATGTATTAACAAAGCCATTGGGGATCGGGGTGCTACTGGACCCTCATGGGTAGGGGAACTAAAGGGACCCCTAAGGGCCGATGGCCATGCGGACCGCCACACGAGTGCGCATTGGCGTTACGCCACTGAGCATGATAGCTGTTCTATAGCTGGGGTACTACATGTCCCCCGCTGGATATTCATCGTTTGTTCTGCAGACAAAGTCCGCATTATTATCTTTATATGCACATAGGCTAGGCCTATAATCACATACTTATAGATTACGGTACATTACATTACGATGGATTGATTGGTTGGAAATATACAACATAAGTATACATTTTTTTAAAAAAAATCAGAACACATTTTATAAGAACATTGAGGCTGAATTAAAAATAAGAACAAATTGAGGCTGAGATATAATGTCAAATAAAGTTTTTATTTTTTATTTTTTTAAAATAGAAAACCAACAGATATTAGCTGTACCTAATGTGCAGTATGTGTGACTATGGTGCAGTGTTGTAACATAATAATTTCTATCATTGAAAAACGTATAAAATAAGAAAACTGAGCCTGGGCAAAATTGTACTGGTATAATAACATCATCAAATTTGCGCTCGCCGACAACGCCAGTAACTTGATGCAATTAGACGTCAGTCAATAATATAGTCCATCAGGAGGATGTCATTCAATAATGAAAATTATATTATTTCTGTATTAAAATTGAAAAAATAAAATAATTCAATAAAACAATACTTATTTAAGAAAATATTATTGTTAATTCTATACCAATGTTTAAAAAAATGCTTTGAAAGGTTGTTTACAGTCTGTCTTACAGACTTTTACTTTCCTTAATTTTATTGTTCTATCCAGAAATTATTTGGACTTATTTCTTTCTGTAATAATGAAATGAAATTGCATGTCATATTGTTTTCCATATTTGCCTAAGTATTTACAAGCTACGCTTCCTTTTTAGACTCTTCCTCATGACTTGTTAATACAAATTATTATTTTTGGTAATACCTTTACTTTCCTCAGTATGTTTTGTTTTAAACATGTAATATTTTATCAAGTGGAATAAATAAAGAAAGAAATGGAAATTAACATCTGAACAGATTTTTTATTTCTGCATTAGAAATGGCCGAACAGACAGAGGGGGTGCAGTAGCACCAGCCAGTTTTACTTTGTATTAGTATATAAAAGTATGCCTTCAAAAACAGTCATTAATAATACAAAACAAAGTAAAGACATTCTTAACTACCTGTACATAAAATACAAAAATATAAAATAAAAAAAACTATTAAACAAAAACACAAGCATGTAGTACGG